CTGGAGAGTTGTGAGTTTCGAACTCCAGCAACCTGAGGCTGACAGCTTTGCGGAAGCAGGCACTTAAAGGACTGAGCTAGAGCCAGGCTCCCCAAGCCCCTCTTGTCAGGTTTTTAAATCTTAAATTTTTGTAAATCACTAGAGCATGTATTAGTAAGGAAACAAAACTAGGAAACTTCTAAAGTATGTAGACTTAAGTGGCCTGTGTTTTCATTTTGGTCATTAAGGTAGTTTTTAAAAATATGCTGATAGCTGGGCTTGGTGGTTCACACCTGTAATCCTAGCACCTGGGAGGCTGAGGCAGGAGGATCACTGAAAATTCCAGGTGAGCTTGGGCTACATTCTAAATTCAAGGCCAGCCTGGGCCACAGTGAAATCTGGTCTCAAAAAATAAAAAATCTGCTGAGAATTTCCATTTTTAAAAAATTCTTACAGGATGTTACTTTTGTTTTTTACTTTAGTGCTGATTAGCCAGTTTCTCATATATACAGTTTTTTAAAAAGCAAAATCATTCGTGAAGTGATTTCATTCTACAGGGATTTATTCACTAGTAAGAACTGCAACTCTACTTCGAGGAAGTTTTGCATAGTAAACTTAATAGTTAAGGGAATTTAAGTAAAGGGTTATTTTTATTGATGTGAGATGGAACAGTTTAAATGTGAATGTAACATGAGGAAAGATACGTGAGGAAAGCCCAAGCCTTTTAATCTTTTTTACAAGTAGACAGAATGTGGTTAAGGCCCTGTGGAACACGACTGAAATAAGTATCAATCATTGTTCCTGTTTACAAATACTGTGGGAGACACGAATAGTAGTAGTCGAGTAAAGTTTTCCGACTATATCTGGGTACTGGTCTATTGCTTAAGACTTTTGAGTCTCATTGCGGGTCGGTAGTAAGTAACCATCAGCTGATTGTTAGAAGAGGTGGTCATAGGAACATTGCTGTCTTGCATCTTGGTAGTTTTTCTTTCACAACTTACAGTTGAGCAACTCGTGTTCTGCTGAATCTGGAAAAACTTGTCTAGATGTTAGCTTTAATGGATACGTTTTATTTTAAAGACTTTGCTTGGCACACTCCTGTAATCACAGCACTCAGGAGGCTAAGGCAGAAGGATTGTGAACACAGGGCCAGCCTGGATCATGGAGAGAGACCCTGCCTCAAAAAAGCAAGCAAAGAAGATTTTGTGAGGTTAGATTATGAATATAGTTGAGGGAGTAGGAATCTCTCCCACATTTATGAAAGGCAGTGTGAAAATGATCAGTTACTCTTTCAAGTGATGACTTTTAGAACTAGTATACTGTGTGATGTAGTGACCTAAACTTTATTCTACTAGTTTGCCAGAAAAAGTATAAGTCTGGAGTGTGTTTGAAGAAGTTTTTATTAAATATAGGTAATTAATATGTGTACTGTGATTTTATAGTAATTAGGAATCTGATTTACTATGTAGAGAAATTTACTATTATATGTTAGAAACGATGTTAAAATTCAGGTGATGCTAACCATGTAATGATAGATACTAGGGATTCTAACAGTGTTTAATGTGTAGGTGCTATTTTTTACCTTATGTTTGTGTTATTTAGTATAGATAGCTGTCATTGTAAAATGTCTAGCTGGAAGTAATTTTAACTTCAGATTCTAGTTACAGACAGCAGAAAAAAATCCTGCAGGATGTGATTGTATAGTTTATCAAATTTTAATGAGGGGTTGGAGGTTTAAGTCTCTGGTAGTAGAGCTTGTTTTTATTAGCATGCAGGAGGCCCTGGGTTAGAGGATTAAATCCTGTCATTTGTATTTAAATAACTATTTTGATTAAAAATTAGACATTTCTTCTGTGAAGAAAGTTGCATGAAGTTTTGTCTTTTAAATCAGAGTAAGTTTTCTGTTGTTGCTTAGATAACTTATTCTTTCCCTGGATTTGGATTCTGTTCATCAATCCACTGTCATCCATGCATGTATTTTTTTATTTAGCTTAATTGGAATCTTACCTGTTCTAGTTTCTCTTTTGGTAGCTGTAAAGAAGCAGCCTCTTTGTCACCTTGCAGCCTCTTTCTGGCAGTACTGTTATACAACCAGGGCCTTTTGTCATTTAAGGTACCCTTTAACAGGTTGTTTTGTTTTAATTATGGTGATATTGTCTGTGTCTAGTTGAGATAACTTTTATACTGTATAAAGCATTCCCAAATTTTGGGTTATTTTCTGATGAGTGCTTTTTTACAATGTTAAAAATAATTGGTTACTTTGAGAAAACAAATTCCCTAACTATCTGATGACAGAGAGATTTGAGGTTGGTGGGATAAGGAACTTTAATCATTACTTAGAAGTGGAGGTTGAACAAGACAAAGCCCAAACTGGAACGTGCTGGGGTTTTTATGAGAGCAGAGGGTTTCTTTGAGATTTTATTTTTGCTGTAATTTTCTGATGTGGTCAAATGTCTTGCTTAGATGTACTCATTGACCTTGACTTATTTGAACTTCTCCTGACTAATGCCTGATGGAAGATGCCTGCCTGTAAGGTAGAAATGTGATCTTTTGGTTTTCCTTTCTTTGCTGTTTACTCCTCAGGGAGGATTTTGTATCCTGATAGTGTGAGGGCAGAAGTGATTCAAAGATTACTTTAGCAGAACATGCAGCCTCTTCTCCTAAGAAGTAACAGTGGATATATGAAAGTTGCTTTTTAAAATTTTTATTTTGGTTTTTTTGTTTTGCTTATCACCTATCTTGTTTACCTGTAAATTTGTAGTCTCTTACTGAAGCTGGGACTTCACTTGTAGAATGGTGAACCTTGGAAATGTCAACTGATTATAAGATTGAAAGTGCATTGTTTTTTATATTGTTTTTGTGACCTTGACATCATCTTCACTTGGTATCCAAATAAAAGCATTTAATATGATATCTGTGTTTGCCACAGCACTTTGACACCTTTTAACTGGCTGCATAGTTAGAAATAGCCACTGTGTGCTGCACAGAGTCCCTGCTGCCTAAGTATATTTTGCTGAATCAGCAGATAGAGGAAGCCAGAGAGATTCATTTGATAATGTACTCCATCCAAGATTGTCCAGAGGCCGGCTTATATATGATCCTGTGACAAGAAAAGAATGCATAATGGACTCTTGCTCTGGCCAGAGTGCAGTGAGCTCTTACAGATTTTTACCTATCTCCCTACCTGCACCCCCAGAGCCTGGTCTTTTGAGTAAGGCCTGATCTTATTCCTTGGCTTTATTAAGCTTGCATGTGTGATTTTTCTATTCCTGGTGTCTAAATCTGTCAGTTAGTTTAAACAGGTAAGAAGAAACATTCATTGGTAGTCAACAGTGGGAATAAATGTTTCCTAAAAATGTTCATTAGAATTCTCACAAATGAAAAAATGTCTAGCTTAGATTGTATAAGCTGGTGAATTCATTTTATAAGAGTTTTATTTTATTTATGTGTGTGTGTGTGTGTGTGGCCAGCTCAGCCCACCAGGGGGCGGGGCTGGCTGGCATGTGGTGCTGGGGGATTGAACTGCGGTCCCTGCACTTTGCTAAGCTTGTTCTAAGTAGGTGCTTTAGACCACCGAGCCATCTCACCAGCCCCATGGTGAATTCATTTTGATCTTTATATTTACGTAGAAAAATGCTTTCCAACAACTTGTTCTAATTACCTGTTTCCCCATTTCAAAAAATTCTTAGGTGTACCCAAATAACTTTGGGTAAAAAATTTACTTTGTGACTAGGTGTGATGACTCAAGCTAGTAATCTCAGCACTGTGGGAGACTAAAGCAGGAGGATCACAGCTTCCAGCCCCACCCAGGCAGCTTTATGACCCAGCAAGACTTGTCTCACAATGTTAAAAAGCAGGGAGGAAGCTGGGGATGTAGCTCAGTGTGAAGGCCCTGGGTTCAGTTGCCAGTGGTGGTGGGGAATTAGTCATTAATCTGCCTGCTTTTGAAATCACAGGAGTAAGTTCCTAAAAACTTAATGAAATCATGAGTGAAAGTGCATGCCTTCCTTGCTCTGGCTTTGACTCTCAGTGTGTTAAAATTATTAGTGATCTTCCCAAGGGCCCAGTTTTTCCCTTAGTGAGGCAGGGCTTTTTTGGAAGGAGGGCTGTCTCTAGCCTTGTGTTAGTATAAAATCACTGTTAAGGGTTACTGTAGTTCTGTGATGGCAGCAAAGTTAATAACCCTGATGCCTGGTATTTTAAATGTGTTTCATCTTGCCCAGCTGTCCTCACATTACCCTCCCCGACTTTTATGAAACTAAGTAGAATATACTAATTCTTTTCCCGCCCACTAACACCCTTTGTTTTTCTGTCTGATACATTTTAAAAGCACAGTGACTCATTTAGTTTGGGATTTATCTTTCACATGATTATCTCCTAAGGTAGAAAAATTGCTGTAGCATTGATAGTAATTAATGCTTTTTGCCTAATGTACCTATGATTAGAATTGTGTTTTTAAGGAGTGGAGTGTAGCTCAATGATAGAGCCCTTGCATGGTTTATGTGAGGCCTTGGCTCGGTACCTGGCCCTGAAAAAAAAAAAAAAATTGTGCTTAAAACAAGATACTGTATCTGTGCTTCACTGATGATGTGTGGAAGTCATTATGCAGGCAAAAACAGGGTAAAAAGCATACCTTGGTTTTATTGATTGGAAATAGGATGCCTTATCTTTTTTTTTCTTGTACAAACTTCCCTCCTGTTGAAACCATAATGATAATTCTGAATGTATTTGCTTTATTCATCCAGCATTAATCTGTGTTTTCAGTTGTCCTTATTGGAGATTCTGGTGTTGGAAAGAGTAATCTCCTGTCCCGATTTACTCGAAATGAGTTTAACCTGGAGAGCAAGAGTACCATTGGAGTAGAGTTTGCAACAAGAAGCATCCAGGTGGATGGGAAAACAATAAAGGCACAGATATGGGACACGGCAGGACAAGAGCGATACCGAGCTATAACATCAGCGTAAGTCTCAGCGTTTTTAAGTTCTGTGATGTAGGTTGCCACTGGCTATTGGAAAAGTGCAGTGGTCCTTCCCTCACCTCTGAATACATTCCAAGACCAATAGTGGGGCCTGAAATCATGGATAGCATTAAACCCTGTGTCTTTGCATTTCATAGGAGCACTTTATGGCTATTTTTGGCATATCTAAATTACCAGCATTGCTACTCATGCTGTGAGTGGGGGGCATCGTAAATAAGGTTACTTGAACACAAGTACTATGATGCTGTGACAGCTGATCTGAGAGCCCAGGGAGCTACAGGTGACTAACGGACAGGAAGTTGGCCTGGGTGGATTAAGACTGTGAGAAAGTTCATCAAACTTAGGAATTGTTTACTTTTGGAATATTTCATCTGATATTTGTGGACTGTGGTTGACTGTAAATAACCAAAACTGGAAAGCACAGGCTCATGAGGGGGAATTACTGTACTGGTTTTTATTTATTCTTAATTTTTTAAATTTATTTTTAAGAATTCCAATATTAGGTGTAGGTTTTTTTAAAAATGTATAATCTGGAGTTCTGGTGTTTACTTCCATCTTGGCTTTTCTCTGATAGTTAAATCTGTGCTTCTCTTTTTAGATACTATCGTGGAGCTGTAGGTGCCTTACTGGTCTATGACATTGCTAAACATCTCACATATGAAAATGTAGAACGATGGCTGAAAGAACTGAGAGACCATGCAGATAGTAACATTGTTATCATGCTGGTGGGCAATAAGAGTGATTTACGTCATCTCAGGGCGGTTCCCACAGATGAAGCGAGAGCTTTTGCAGGTTAGTAACATGCATTCCATGATCTCACAGTCATCTCTCTGTTTTGCTACTCTTCCAGTGAAGGGCTAGGTTTTAATAGTTTCAGAAAGGTAAACATGAATACTCAGTAAGAATTGTTATTTTGAAAATTTATAGTTTTTGTTTAATTTCAGGTTCTTAAAACCCTAGTATTTTGGGGGCCGGGGAGATGGCTCAGTAGAATAAGCACTTCCCTGGCAAGCACAAGGATCTGAGTTCAATCCCCGATTCCACAAAAAAAAAAAAAAAAAAAAACCCACCCTATTATTTTGAGGTTTTGCTGCCATAACTTGAATACAACAAATGCCTTCTTTTTTTCTTCCTTGGAGAGGTAGAGGAAACGTATCCATTTATTGTGTGCTTCCTGACTCTTTCATACATCTCTGTTTTTTACCAGTGCCACTCTGTGTGAGTCTGGAGAGCAACATCCCAGGTAGTGCGAGGGACCAACAGGGATGCAGTTGCTTAGGACCTATAACATTTTTGGCTTCTTAGAAGCTGTCCCTGTCTCTTTGCCACCCATTATAGAAAGGGTGCTTTGTTAGGAACAACTACCAGAAAGCAGCACGGTGTATTGGCTGATCAAAGTCATGACCTTAACTACTGATTACATTATGAATACTTTTGCAGTAATGTATTTATTTATTTATTTAGGCAGAACCGGGGATTGAACTCAGGCCCTTGCCCTTGCCAGGGAAGTGCTTACTCCACTGAGCCATCTGTCAGGCCCAGTAATGTTTTTATTATCTCAGGAAAGAATCACTTTTGTCTATAATGGGTCTCCTGTGTACTGAGCAAGCACTGTACCAGTGAGTTAGGCCCCAGCTCTTCTAAAAACTTACTTCGTGACAGGGTCTTGTTAAGTTGGCCAGGCTGACCTTATACTCACAATGCTTCTTCCTCAGCTTCCCAAGTATTAGAAGTTTTTGGTTTTTTCTTTTTGCGGAGCCGGGGCTTGAACTCAGGCCCTTACACTTGCCAGGCAAGTACTTATTCAACTGAGCTATCTCCCCTACTTCCCAAGTATTGGGATGATAGGTGTGTGCCTCCATTGCCTCCCCAGGAGAGAGCTTGATTTCAAAATAGTTGCAGAATTATAAGTGAATGTCTTGGCCATGTAACTGGTAGGAAGCAAAGTGAAGAACAGAAATAACTGGGTATTTAAAAAGTTTTGAGAAATGTCATGTATTTCGAGTGGTAGTATTTAGATATGAATATTTTAAGTCGGTGAAAAATTTTCATTAGTAGTTTTAATTTCCTGAAGTGTAAATAGAATAGTTCCCTTGCTGTCCTAGAAGTTGTGGGGGTCTTTTTTTTTTTTTAATTTATTTATGTGTGTGTGTGTGGCCAGCTCAGCCCACCAGGGGGCGGGGCTGGCTGGCATGTGGTGCTGGGGGATTGAACCGCGGTCCCTGTGCTTTAGCCAAGCTTGTTCTAAGTAGGTGCTTCAGACCACTGAGCCATCTCACCAGCCCGGGTCTTTGGTTTTTACAAAAAAATTCTACCATTTTTTTTCCTTTTAAGTAGATCATATCCGTTGTTTTAAAACCTGCCAGGAGCTGAGGGTACAGCTCACTGGTAAAACACCTGCTTCACTTGTGCAAGGCCCTGGACTAGCTCTCCAACACCATGGAGGGAAAGTAAACAGTGTTGCCTTCTTGCTAGAAGTGCATCATGGGTGGGGACGTGGCTTGGCGTAATAAGCTTGCTCAGTAGGTTCACGGCCCTGGGTTTAAGCACCACCACTGCAAAACAGCAGAACTTGACAAGACTGGTTTTTTGTGTCTTCCCACAGAAAAGAATGGTTTGTCATTCATTGAGACATCAGCTCTAGACTCAACAAATGTAGAAGCTGCTTTTCAGACAATTTTAACAGGTAAGACTTACATTTCAGGTTATGCCAGTAGGAAATGGAAGTTTTAGGTAGGGAATTTAAACAAATGAATCAGGAAACTAAAGTCTGTATTGCAACATATGAGAACTACAGTAGCAAGAGCAGTGTAGAGGGCGAACTTAGTTATAGCCCTTGTTCATTGAGTTTTAGTTATCCTCATTCCTCTGGTTTATAGTGGGAAGAAACTTGAAGTAATTTGTTCACTTTCATGTGTTCACATCCATTGTTGTTTTTTTTTTTTTTTGCGGAACCAGGGATTGAACTCACGCCCTTGCACTTGCCAGGGAAGCGCTTATTCCACTGAGCTACCTCCCCGGCCCCCGACTTGCATGTGTTCAGACCTGGTATTCTATACTTCATAGTCAAAGTGCGAACTTAGTTTAAGTGTACTGTGTTTTTCTTAAAATGTGTTTTCAGAAGATAAATACTGAGATCCGAGCTATAGAAAAATGTAAATGCCCCTTGGAAATTATAATACGAAAAATTTTGCTAGAGGAAAGTGTATTTTAAAAATTTAAAGGAAGAAGCAAGGTGCACTTGTAGATAAAATCAGCCAGTGATTGCACCTAGAGAAGTTTAAATGAGCGGTGCGGAAGGGACAGAGTTCATGCTGTTTGGTAGTGTAGATAACCGGGTCACACTCCTGGGTCAGAGGAGGGGTTTTTTTGCTCCGAATGCCTTCAGGGCAGGGTTGTTTTTTTGTTTTTGTTTTTTTCCAGAACCAGGGATTGAACTCAGGCCAGGTTTGGCTGGCTTGAGTTGTGGGAATCGAACCACAGCAACCTGAGCCTGATGGCTTTGTTGAAGCAGCCACTTAAAGAACTGAGCTAAGGGGCAGGCCCCCAAGAGGAGGGTTTTATTTGTGCTGACTCATATTTACTCTGACTTTATTAAAATGACCAGTGTATCAGTAAATTCAGTCTTTAATCTTTTGATAAATATTTTGATGGAATGTTTTTAAAAACTTCTGAACTGTATATTTGGAGAATTCATGAATTAGACTATAAGGCTGGATGAAGTGGTACATGCCTGTAATCCCAGCACTTGGGAGGCTGAAAACAGGAGGATCACTGCACATCTGATCTGTGTATTGAGACCCTGTAGTCCCTGTACTAAAATACACACACAAATGAATTAGACTAGAGTCTTAGGGCCAGGGATATTGCTCAGTGGCACGGCGCCTGCCTGGAATGCGCAAGGTCCTCAGTTCAGTTCCCTGTACCAAGAAAACAAAACAAAAGAATATAGTCTTAATGTGAAGTTTTGAGTAATTTAAACAGTTCTGTATTTGAACTTTTCAGAAGGAATTGTTTATGGGATGGGAAGATACCTCAGCTCAGCAGTGTAAGTGTCTGTCTGGCAAGAGTGAGGACCTGGGTTTGATCCCTGGTGCTGCATGCTGTGCTGGCCCGAACCGGGCATGGCACACACTCATAGTCCCAGTGCTGGGGAGGCTGAGACAGGAGGATCAGAGGATCACTACGAGTGCGAGCTGCATAGCGAGACCCTGTACCAAATAAATAAAGATCAAAAAATGAAAAAGGAGTTGATGGCATTTTTTTTTTTTTTAAAGGAATTAATTTACTTTCTTGCTGTTACGGTTTGTGTCTAGTTGTCACCCCAAAGCCTCATGAAGTCTCAGGTGTCTTCTGGAGTTTGTGATTGATTATTGTGTGCTTAGGGGCTCTACCAGCCCTGGGGTGTATAATTTGCATTACAATGTAAGGAGGGGAGAGTGGCTAGGTAGCTGCTTGAGCTGCTGTCACTCCTTTGCTCTTGCTGTTGTGGCCACCATGAACAGTTGCTCTCTGCCGTGTGCCACTCTGCCTTGCAGCCAGCTGAGTATGGACTGAAACCTCCATTAACTGTGAGCTACATAAACCTTTCCTTCCCTAATTTTGAGTGTCAGGTATTTGTCCCAGCAACGAGAGAACAGTAACTGAGACACTTGCTATACTGTAAAGTTTTAACTTAGTGCAACATGTGTATTAGTTTTAATTTAGAACAGCGTGGATTATAGGGGACAGATTTTTAACTTTTTTTTTTTAGTAGTACATGGGGTTGAACTCTGGGCCTTGACTTTATTATTTTTCTGTAAAAGTGGAGTAAAGGCAGATTAACATGGGCTTGAAAGCCTGATTTGGTAATTTTGGTTTCGCCTAGTTTTATAATCTTAGGCAATTTATGTAATCATTTTAGGCCTTAAGGGTTTTTTCCTCAATACTAGGGCTCGAACCCAGGGCCTTTGCACTGAGCTACTTCCTTTGACCCCTTCCCCTTCCTTTTGAGAGTCTTCCTGAGTTGCTTGGCTTGAGGCTATGATTCTCTTACCTCAGCTTCCCAGAGTCCTGGGATTACAGGAATGTTATCATGCCCAGATAGGCCTTAATTTCTTCATATGTATGGTTCAGATATGTTTTGAGAGTTGCTTCCTTTTTGAGAGAGGACTTGTATTTTAAAAATCTAATGATGTAATTTCACTGCTAATGCTACTTACAGGTTCTTGTCTTTCCCAACCTGCAGCAAAGTGGTTTGTCACTGAGACATCTGCACTAGAGTCCAAATATCAGTATGAGTTAATGCTTGTAAAGAGTTTAGCTGAATATGAAGGCTCACACCTGTAATGGTGGCACTCTAGAGGCTGAGGCAGGATCACTAAATTCGAGGCCATCTTGCTTGAACTACATAGCCAGATACTGTCTCAAAAAAGAAAATTTTAAAAAAGGAAAAAAAAAAACCCTTAACTTCCTGATACATAGTAAACTAGTGAGGTGCTAATTGATAAGTTACTAATTGATCAATTAGTACCTAACCTAGGTAACTAAGGTATGAAAAAAACTTGCTAAAATAATTATTAGTCATTTATATACTGTTATTTGAATCTTCTCTTATTAGAACAGTAACCATAAGAACTAATTCTGGGGTCAGATAGTTTTTGGAGCACAGCACTTTAGAATCTTTTCTGTATCAAGTCTCTACAGATTGTTTCAAGAGAGTAAAACTTGCAAGTCCTACTTTTTTCTTTATAACCACCTCGCATAAATTCTGTTGAGTCAAAGTGTAGAGTACTAGATAGAGACCAAGGAGTTCTGGGCTTTTATACACAGGCTTCTGTAACTCAAGTCACTGAACCTCCCTGGCCCTAGGATTCATAATGGGGCTGGCCTTGAACTCACTGTGTAGCACAGACTGGCCTCAAAATCAGTGATCCTCCTGCCTCATCCTCCTGAGTGCTGGGATTACAGGTGTGTGCCACCACACCTGGCATCGTAGTTTTTTAAAATGTGAGTTAAGTCGCCCTAATGGTCTGTAAATCTGTAAGACCTATGAAAACCAGAGAAATTTTAGGCAATCTTTACTGTTGGGACATTTCCTGCCTCATCAACTCTTCCTTGCTATGTAGTTCTAGCCTACTTTCTGATCAGTTTCTAGCCTGACAATGTGTACTAGTGAAATGAAGTCAAATCGCCTGCAGTTAGCTTTTGTTATTTTAACATTGAACTTCTTGATTGTACAGACATGACTGCTCATAGAAGTGTTCTCGTCTTAAAGTTGAGCTGTTCTGGTCTTACAGGTGGAGAACAACATCTGGCTATTCTTAATATTTACAGTAGATTAAACTTAAGTTACTGCTTAATGTTGCTTGACAGCAAAGACATTTTAGTTTGCTTACTGCCCCCTCCCTGCTTGTACTCTCTGTTTCTTCAGCTTCTTCCAGAGATCTGAGTCTTGATCTGTGGTGTTACAGATTGCTCTGTGGTTTGACAAGTGTTAGGGTGTTTGGCCTAAACCTTTTTCCTCTTGTATGCCAGTATGGGAACATCAATGCATAACAAAAGGAAAGAAAATAATCTCAGATTGAGTTCTGCCTTAAATTTAACAGTATTATTTACCAAATATTCAGATGTTGCTGAAAGAAAAAAAAAAGCTTTTTAATTTTTAAGATATAAAATTATGTAGTGTTGAAAGTTACATTAGTGTTTGTCTTAGAATAGATCTATGGCATTCTTAACATCTGTGAATTTCAGAGAAATTCCGTAAGGTGATTTTTCCATTGAATTCGGGTTGTAGACTTTTGGCAGGGATTCCACAGAAGTGTTCTCAGTACATCTATCTGGCGCATGATAGCAGGCTTGTCATACTTATTACTGGTATTTTTACCTTTGGTTACTTGTTTAAGGTAATATTTGCCTTATTTCTTCATACAATCAGTAAGTCCAACATACCTTTTTGGCATGAAGAGTAAATTCTTAATTCTGTGGATGAAAGAATGTTATTTCATTTAGCTTATTGCCTGTTTAAAGAGGAGCTACAGAGCCAGGGAGTGGCACAAACTTGTAGTCCCAGTACTGTGCAAATTTGAACCAAAGCTGGGTGGTTTAGCCATTTAGCAAGACCTTCCTTCCTTCAAAAGAAGGGGGTAGGGTGGGGATGTAACTCAGTACGGAGGCCCTGGGTCCAGTCCCCTGCACCACAGAGAAAGGGGTAGAAGTATGGTGGGGGAGCTAAAGTTTTCATGTATTGACTTAGCAGTTTAGACAGAATCTTAATTATAGGAGTAGCTTTTTTTTTTTGGCACCTGGGAACCTCATTTTAAATACATGTGAATATATAAGATCAGAATCTTTGGTTTTGAGATAGGCCTTTGCTGTGCAGTTCGGCTGGCATTGAACTCACTGTGTATCTCAGGCTGGCCTCAAACTCGCAGCAGTCCACCTGCCTCAGCCTCTCAAATGCTAGTGTTACAGGTGTGCACCACCGTGCCTGGCTTCCGAATCCTTTTTGACCTTTGAGCAACTTGCTTGGTGAACAGTAGGTTTACAGAGATCTAACAAAAGCTTCTACCTAGGCTGTAGTGGAATAATTTAGATTTGTGTTGTTTTTACAAGTTTTGGAGGAATTAATCTTAACTTTTCTTATTCCCTAATTGGGAACCCTTGTCTTTAAGTTCCTTAGAATTATATTGCTGTTTGACTCACATGTCAATTAGAGTAGAAATAGACGTATGTCCTTCTAATTTAGCTTTACCTCATTGTATTTAGAGCTGTCTTATATTAATGCTACTTTATATTTAGATCTACACAAGATTCTTATAGAACTTTAAGGCAGGATTCCTTTTCTTTTTTAATCATACCTCAGGTTTGACACCTTGAAAAGGTTCCTGCACAGGAATGTAGTGTGTCCCATTCTGTAAGGAGAACATGCCCTTGAAGGGAAATACAGTACTTGCCTCTGGTTTAGCGAGGTACTTGTCCCAGCGTCATTGCCCTGCTGGAATGCGAATCATTTTTAATCAGATGTGGTACCAGCTAGAAGGCACCTGCTTCCTGTTTTCTTATCAGAGTTCTTTTTTTTTTTTTTTTTAAATGACACACCAAGCCCTAAATGACTTAAATTACTTAGGAGCTGCTAGAACTAATTATATGTGAGAAAAAAATTTTTTCTAATTTTCTGACCAGTAGTTTTCTTTCTCTCGATTGCCATGTTGGCATTGTTACCTGCGGTCATCTCTGTAGTGCTCGGAGTAGTGTGTCAGTAATCCTTTCTGAAAGAATGCAGTCCCTGCAGGCAACTGTGCTGCGCTACTGAAATGTCTTGCTTTGCAAAGAGCCTCTTTATTTACTTCTGTGTATTCTGTGAGAAGCCTGCCTTTGCTTCCTTCCAGTATTACATGTATTTACGTTTTACATAAGAGTGTGCAGGGTTTTTTTCTTAGGTAAATCTTCAAAACTTTTAAAGAAGTTCAAACTTACAGAGGTCACATTTAGTTTTTCACTCTTGAACAAGAAGATCCAGCCCATTTGTAGAGAAAAAACCTAGAACGAAAGGTACAGCTTACTCACAAATTGATGATTATTAGCTGCTAGCCTAATTGCGAGAAGGAAAAATTCTTTCTCTTTAGCTCAGCACACTCCCATCCCCTTCCCTTGTCAATCAAAAGGTTCTGAATGAAGACTCTTATCGTGTGTGTGTGTGTGTGTGTGTGTGTGTGTGTTAGTTAAAACCTTTATTCAGGGGCCGGGGAGATGGCTCATTGGAATAAGCGCTTCCCTGGCAAGTGCAAGGGCATGAGTTTAATCCCCGATTCTGCAAAAAAAAAAAAAAAAAAAAAACAACTTTATTCACCCCCTTATATTTATTATAATGTAGGTTTTTCCTCTTTTGTTATAGCCTTCTCATGTATAAATTTTTCTTGCCTCTTCTCCCAAAGCAAGAAAGGGCATACTGTGGTCATTGCTAGTTTACATATGAAGTTCACTACAGTGTCATGAAAGAGTCTACATATAGACTCTTAAATTGCCTTATTTGAATAATTAATTGTAGTTTAACTTTAATTTAGGAGATCGCTAATAAACACATTAGATTCTTCTAAGAGTCTTTTGGGATTTTAGCATATTTAGGAAATTGTGTTCTTCTCCATAGCCAAGAAGTTTTTTTAAAAAAGGTAGACTGAAAATACTTTGTTATTGTACTGGGGATCGAATTCAGGCCCTTGCGCTTGCCAGGCAAGCGCTTATTCCACTGAGCTGTCTCCCTGGCTGTTGAGGGGAGGAAATATGTATGTATGTATGTATGTATGTATGTATGTATTTTTTTTCCTTTTTTTTTTTTTTTTAAAGATGTATTTGGTTGTTGCAGGGTCTCACTATGTAGCGCAGACTCATAGTGATTCTCCTGTTTTCAGCCTTGCCAGCTATGCCTGGACTCTGGCTGGCTCAGCCCATCCTCAGGGTGGGGCTAGTGCAGCATGTGATGCCAGGGATCAAACCGCAGTCCCTGTGCTTGCCTAAGCAGGCACCCTAGTCTGCTGAGCTATCTCACCGGCCTGAAAATACATACTAAAAAATAGGGTGAACATACTTAAAATGATTTAATTTAGATCTATGTCTATAAAATGTAATTCTTTAAAACAAGATTTAGTTGAGGTCTTTCCTTTTGAAATAGAAAAGCTTTCTTTTTTTTTTATGAAAAGGATTTTTTTTTGTTTGGTTTTGAGACAGGGTCTCACTATGTAGTTCAGCCTAGACTTGAACTCACAGCAATCCTCCTACCTCAGCCTTCCAAGTGCTGGGATTACAGGCATGTGGCACTGTGCTGAATGAAAAAGAAAAATATTAAAATAGTGGTTGGTTCTAATCAGTGGCTCTTTGAAAGTAAAACATTAAATTTATATGTTCTCTTTTGGGTGTATCTTCTGTCATGTCTTTTCTAGCAATTCTGCATGGGTTTACTCTTGCTAAGTATTCGGTTTCTGTCTTTCAGAGATATACCGCATTGTGTCTCAGAAGCAAATGTCAGACAGACGTGAAAATGACATGTCTCCAAGCAACAATGTGGTTCCTATTCATGTTCCACCAACCACTGAAAATAAGCCAAAGGTGCAGTGCTGTCAGAACATCTAAGGCGTTTCTCTCCTCCCCTAGAAGGCTGTGTATAGTCCATTTCCCAGGTCTGAGATTTAAATATATTTGTAATTCCTGTGGCCACTTTTGTGTTTTATTACTTTACTTCCTCATACTTATTAATTCTTCCATGTCTTAAGTCCTTTGATTTTAGATTTATAAAATCATCCACTTTGTGCCGAATGACTGCAGTTTTTTTTTTTCTCCATGCTATGGCTTCACTGGCCTTAGTTTAATAAACTGAATGTTTGAATTCCTCAGTTATTGTTTACTTTTCATCATGAAAGCCTGTCTTTGTAGGACATAGTTCAACTTTCTCACTTGAAGCTCAGACCCATTGGTCTTGATCTAATCCAATGAAGACCTTAGAAGTAAGCTATTATTTTGCCACAGAGCCGCTTAGAAGTAGTACACTCTTCTCTCAGTGCAGCGTATATTTCGACAAATCTAAGAGTTGCCCTATAAACATAGCAGGATTTTGTGAAAATTTTCCATTATTCTGGAAGTCAATTTCTAAAATGCCTTAATAGGTTTATGTAGTTTAGTACATTTTGGTTTAATTTTTGTAAGTGTCATAATTGATGAGAAAGGAGGGCACTTTTTTGTGGACAGGGATTATCCTAATAAACACAAAAGATTGTTAACAGTTTGGATTACGTTATGATTTGGGCGCTGTAAGTTGAACAGTGCTGCCTGGCAGGCTAGGAACTAGAGAGACTGGTAGAAAGCCTTCTGAAGTGCCTCTGCTGCAGTGATTGAGCAGCCCAAGTCATTGAACTGATCTCATTTCCCAGCAGTAGATTATGTGGCATTTTATTGCCCAGGCAATAACTGGTTTAATGTTGGTAATATCAAATTTTGAAATACTAATTTTGTTTAAAAACCTTCAAGTAAGTGAAATACAACCTAGTTTTATCACCATATTCACCAGCAGGCACGGGTGATTATTTTAGCAATGCTAATATTTGAGTTTTGCAGTGTATAATGGAATATAGTCCAGTTAAATCTTTGGTTTTAGTATGTCTAAAGGATACAGTGAGAAGTTAATTTATGCTCAAGTGGTACCGTTTAAAGGCATGTATTCTTTAGTATGTAAAATGAAATAGTACCTTGATTTTAAATAGAATGCACTTAGGCATTAATAGAGACCTGAAGTCATTTTTTTCCTACTACGTTACTGGAATCCGCAGAGCAACTAGTTTCTCATTCAGAAATGTGCACACTAATACTTAGTTTTATTTCCTTATGTGGATAAGATTAAGCGCTTCTCTGCAGTTTTCTGAAAGTTGTCAACTGCAGTGGTAACTTCAGGATGATGGATATCTAAAAAAATATATGTGTGGGCTTGCATAGATTCACTATGTTTCATAGTTAATCTTCTGTGCTTTGCGGTGCTCATGATGTGTGGGGTGCACGGAAGGCATTGCTGTAGTCAGTCATTTCCTATGTAGCCATTTTATTGTTTTAGTGTACTGGTTATAAAGATACTATTATCTATTTGTAAATTGCTACTTTGTATTTTATGCATGCTCTGTAACTTAATTTTTTTTTTTTTTTTGATTTGGAATATATCTCATTCTAATAAACAGTTATAGGGGGTCTATTCTTTACGTTGTCAGATTACATTTTCTTTTGAATCCTTTGGATCCAGCCCTGGAATGCTTGAATCTGATGAGTAAGCTCTTAAGTGCTTGCATTATCAAGTAAACATTGAATTGGGGCATTAGTACGTGAATTCAGGTGTAATGTTAGGCCTCAAGTTCAGTTACATGTTTCTTGGGAGAAGTATTAATAAACATCAGGGAAATAATCTCTGTACTTCCATGTGTAACTGTGTCACCAAACACAGGAAAAGTCTCCTTCTCTGTTTTATTTCAAGTTGAGAATTGAGTATTTTGCTGCTTATTCCTCCTTTTCAGTTATCGCAACATTGAATATTCTTTTAACCTGTTATGTTATCCTGTAAAAGTCTTTCAGCGTTTGTACCTTGATTTAAACTTAAATGACATTGTCTCAAATGCTCTTTGTGATTTATTTTTTCTAATAGTTGCCACTGTGTAAGAGTAAGTTACCATTAGACATTTCACTGAGTGTGCTAAATTGTCATTGTAAAAAAGAGGTGGCAGCCAGTACCATTTGCCAGAGTTCTTTTCCGTTCTGAAGGGTTCCATAGAAGTTAGATTTCTTAAGAGTGGAGTATCAGAGCTAATTCTGTTTCTTTTGTTGTTAGAAAAATGAACATCTTAATTTTTGTCTTTGCTGACTTACTAAATAGGAATGTTTTCAGTGGTTTGAACTATTAGGATACTGTCTTTCATCTAGCTTAAAGAGAAAAACTACTATTTAGATATTTTTGGCCAACACCACACCACACGAGAACTTAATCCAACCTGTTCAGATTTCAACTTTGGGATTTTTAAAATTTTATTATTTTAACAGAGGAAAATAAATTGATTATCTCATGAGTTACACATAACATAAGCCTGAAAAAATTTAAAACTTGAATTTTGTTTAGGATCCTGTATGACCTCCATGTATTGTGGTGTGTTTTTTTTTTTAAAGATCAGAGACTGTGAAAGAATTCTTTTCCCCCACGTCACTGGCTGGGCTAACCACACAAGGAGCTGTGGCGCTGATGCTAACGAGGAGAGCACTGAGCTTTTCTCTCCTGCTTGGGCAAGCGCTGGTGTCGCACCTGTTTCTGGCACTACACAGATCCCCTTGCCTGTTCACCTATACAGTCTACCAGAGAAACTGGAGCTGTTGTTCTAATGTTTGAACAATGGCTGTGTTCTCCAAATTGTGGGAGCCTTATGCTAACAGTAAGTGATATAATATGCTAATACCATTGCATCTCATATATAAGGAGTAAGGGTATCCATTTTCTTAGAGATGGAGTTAGACGGAAGAATATTTGAAATAATACTTGTGTAATATATACATTCAAGACATATATTAGAAAATAAGCTAAACTATTTGACTTCAACATTGAAAGTTAAAGATTTATTTATTTAGGTTTTTTGAGGTAGGATCTCACTGTGCAGTCCAGGCTGGCCTTGAACTCACTGTGTAGCCCATGCCAGCCTCAAACTCTCAGTGATCCTCTTGCCTCAGCCTCCCATGTGCTGGGGTTACATGTGTGTACCACCATACCTGGTGATGGCAGATTCAGTACAAAACTAGACCTAGTGACAGAGGTTGTGTTACAGCTGTGCATTCATGTTCTTCCAGTTAATGATGGGACTAGATTAGGTCAGTTCTGGGGTTCATCCAACTTAATTCTCTGAATGAACTCTATTCGGATACTAAAGCTAAAATATTCTGCATTCTAACTCAAATTTAATGGATAAGTAAAAGTCAAGAATATACTGTGGAAAATGCTTTTGGTTTTATAATAACTTGATTAAAATGTTGCTTATTTCTGTTAATTCCATTGAATAAGAGGAAAGCTTTTAGAACATTTGCAAATAACTGCTTCCCTGATGGGCGACGGAGTACACATGCGTGCTGGGGAGGTAGCTGATGGGCTGCCACATCGACTGTAGACAGAGACCTGCTTGTTTACTGCTGTTTATAAAATTCTGCTGACTTCGATATGTACTTTGAACTATGTTTATGTCTGAGTGAGAACTTATAAAAGCATTTTGTGTTGAAAAATTTTTAAATGATCTTTGTAATATATACCAGACAGTGGATCAACCCGCACAACTACCCAACAGAACCAGTGGTTAAATCCAAGTGTATAGATTGGTGTGTACACACAATGTGGCAGTTGTTTGGCTGTTGATGTAAGGCAGTTAATAGGTGAAACATCATTTGATTTTAGCTCTTGAGCATTATTAAATAGGAGTGATCATTCTGAAGAGAGGGCTGTTAACCAGCGTTAGCTAGTGTGAGGATTAGTACCCAGCAGCGTTCCTTCCTTGCGTTTGAGTCAGGTTCGTGTCCGTAAGCTTCACACAGGCCCATCTTCTGGCTACAGCGGCTTCGGAGGTAGGGCTGGGTAGGAAGGAAGCCTGATGCAGGAGCTGCGCACCGGGCCTTCCGCCTTCTGTGGGCTGGCTTGGACGCTGCTCAGTCCGCAGAGCTCTGCAAGTGCAGGGAGAAAATACCCAAACAGCACACAGTGATCTCCAGCACCCTCTCGCTTATCCCTGCCCCTTATAATCACCGCGTTGTTAAGAGCCTCAAGGGGGAAGATGCTCTGTTCATGTGTACAGCCCTGGTATCATCTCCCCTCAGCGACCCTATGTGAGAGCAGTTAGGGCTGTCTAAGAATGAGGAGTCCGAGCCTGTGGCTCATGCTGCTAAAGCCTGGGCAGCTGCCATCTGAGACTTACCATTTGTTTTTAAAGAATTTATTAAAAAAATGACATCTATATGTATTATAATTCTATACTTGTACTAAAATATTATACAAAAAGTATAAATAATAGTATAATTAATCCCCCATGTGCCCATCAGTCCCTTAGATTTTTCCATCTCTTCTTACCTCACAGATTAAATGTGTTTCTTCTGTCTTCTCTGATGAATGACTAATAGAATGTATCATTCCTGAAACTTTTTTTTTTTGTGGTGGAACCGGGGATTGAACTCAGGCCCTTGCACTTGCCAGGGAAGCGCTTATTCCACTGAGCCATCTCCCTGGCTCCCCTGAAACTTCTAGTGGAGTACACAACCCACAGCTACTGGTATTTGGTTACCATTTATGGTGTTGGGTAATACAGTAGTCTCAGATTTGTAGGACATAATATTAAATTATTCTGAGTACCTTCTTTAGCCTTAATAGCTTGTGATTATGTTTTGACTTTAGCTAAAATGTAAATCTCCATCCCCTGGGAGTTACCTGTTAATCCATTCAGAATGGCTCTTGATAGCAGCAAAACTGTATTATTTTTGGTTAAACATCATATTAAATTGAAGTAACTTTTGAGTATCATGTAACTTTTTTTTTTTTTTTTTCCAATGTAACCTTTATGACTGGCAGGCTGCAATGTTTTGGTTTGGCCCAAATCTGATATTTTATATACATATTTTAGAAAATTTAAACTTATTCCATGCATTCAATAAGTTGGTTTTTTGTTTTTGTTTACTGTAATTTGTTACAAAATGAATCCGGTTGCTTTTCTGTCAGTTTGGTCAGAAGGTTATGTTTTAAAAGGTCTTGGGACAGATGCCCCCTGGATGAGAGCGTCTAGTAGAAAGCTGTTAGTGTAATTTATATGAATTAAATGGCCCTTGCGCTTGCTCTTTTTCTGTTCCATAGAAATACCTTTGGGCTGTTTTTGTTTTACCTTTGTGCCTCTGGAGCTGAGCACAGCTGTAATGGACGTCTGGAGTATACATATTTGGGGAAGTAGATGTGAATACACTTTAAAAATACTCTCAACATGAAGAAGAGTATACTGGTTCCATTCATGACTTTAAAGGCAGAGACTCCCTTGTTAAACAGCCTTTTCACTACTATTTTCAAACACATGATAGCATAATTCTTACTCTTACAGCTGCGTACATTGACCACACAAACCTAAAACCCTGTAGTGTAGATGATAGGCATGTTCTTAGTTTGCATTATAACAGTAGGCATTCTTCAATTAGAGAAATTCATTTTATTTTGTACAAGGTACAATCCCTCTGCACAGTGAACAAATATATTACAAATCTGTGGTTTAAAAAAGTATTGCCATTTCATAGTCTCTTATGCTATTATACAGTTGCTTTCTTTATTCATCTGGATTGTATGCCTGTCAGTTTTGATTGAAAATTTAGTTTCTGAAAAATACCAGATTTTCCGAGTCACCAATAAAATGCACAGTGCACCTGTTTAGGCTGACCATGAACCTGTTTGTGACAGTGCTAGACAGCAATTTCTCACAGTTGCTCTGTAAGATTATAATGTCATTTACCAGTCACTCTTAGATATGTGAAGGCAGCTATTGTCACCATAGATCATTCACATCCTTTGCCCTTCCTTTCTCTGTATTGTCTCAGTTCTGCATTTCTTTAAAAAGTCGTAGAATGCTAGAGCTGGAGGATTGTTGCGGCTCCTTTCCATACTTTCTGGCCCTCCCTGCTCCCCCTTGGCAAGGGGAATAAAGGGGTCCACAGAGGGCCAGTCACGTGCCAAAATCTCTTGACTCAGTGCTCTAGCCATCCACCTCCTGCTGGGTACCTTTGCCCAGAGGGTAGTTGGCAAGAGGTGGGTAAACTTGGAACTCGAGTACTGCTGCTGCTTGTTTGCAGTTTTGCCAGGTAGCAGTTATAGTGCATGCAGGGTAAGGGAGGAGAGAGACCTGAACTAAGATGAAGCTTCTCTTCGCTGACCTGACTTCGCCATGCTGCTTCCTCCGTGCTTCACAAAAATAATTGACATTTGCAGCCCTGGAATACTGAGGTAAGTCTTACCTATTTCTTTCTATATATGTATGAGAAATAATTGATTTGGGCCTACAAAGTAATGCTCTAATATTTTAATAAGGCTTTTTTGAAAGCCAGTTTACTGTTTCCGATCACTTGCTCCCATGCACACATGCAGCATTCACGTAAGTATCGTATATTTTCTTCTAACACTAAAATCTGCTTATGCCTTGAGTGAGATGGGGTGGGGGGGCTTCCTCATTAATGTTCTTGCTCTTGTTGCCCAAACTAATGAATTCCATGGCTGACTTCCAATTTCTGCCAAGGGTTTCAGAACTCCCACACTTCCTGTAACAGTGTCCCAGCTTTGCAGTCATCCAGTTCCTCTTCTCTATACATAGTTAGAAGTGTTTTTGACTGGCTGGACTATTACCAGAATGCGGTGCTTCTGGAATGGCCATTAGCGTCCATGGTCTTAATTTAACTCCCGTGAAGAAGTCCTCCGTAGGACTTGGGAGGTGGCTCCTTTCGGCATCATCCAAGCCTCCTTCTCAGGTGTTCGCTAGGAATGGAAGGTATAGGCCGTCTGAGCGCTGGGAGCCGCAGCATTATCTTACTGGAGTACACATTAGGCCATCTTCAGATGTGGTAGTTTTAAGCATTTCATATCCTCTTGTGCTGTTTACTGAGAAGTTTTTATAACAATTTCAGCAACTGGTTATAGTCCATTCTTTGATCACTGGTGTCATTTAGTTCCATCAAAAGGCATAATGTATGGTGAGCAACGTGAACGTGGTATAGCGACATTTGTCTCGCTTCCTCTGTACATCAAGCTCAAGATTTATGAAGTGCTTGAAAGCAAGTATTTTCTGAGTAAAGGGATCCCAACTAAATAAACTGGGGAGGCCTAAATAGCCAGTTCTAGAGATACTTAATTCTTACTAGTTTATGACTGCTTACTTGATAGAGTGACATCTCCATGCCGTATTTCCTGTTTCAATTGGAGTGACTCAAGTGTGTGATAGATTAGGGCGACATAACAAGATCAGAGGGCCAGCGAGATAGCTCAGTGGACTAAGTGCCTGCTTAGGCAGGCGCAGGGACTGACCGGGGTTGGATCCCTGGCACCATATACTGTGCTGGCCCCGCCCCTGGGCGCACTGAGATGGTACCCTTGACCCAGCGTGGTGGCACACGCCTGTAATCCCAGCACTGAGGAGGCAGATCGCTACAAGTCTGAGCTGCATAGTGAGGCCCTGTACCAAATACATTTAAAAAATAAAAGATCTGGACTGACTTGCATTTGTTCTGGCAATTTGAATTGGCATAATGTAAAGCTGGTCTAGAAATTAGTGTACTGAAAGTAGCTACTACAATTTATAAACTTCTTTTCTTCAGTTTTTAGCCTAATATCACTAATGGGGCAGAAGAGAGAAAGTTAATTTTTATTCAAGTATTGGTTTTTAAAAAATGGAGGTTGTCAGCATTAGACTAAATTCTGTAATCTTGGCCCTTGTAATTCATTGGACTGGGCATATAAGTACTTTAGGACTGATACTAGAATAGTTCACATGTGTACTAATTATCTTAGCATTAAAAAGCAGACGTTGATGGTAATAGTAACCAAAAGTACCTGTACCTTTCAGGTCCTTTAACCAACTCGCCTCCCAGGCCCCTTTTCCTCCTTGGAAGGTTTGCTATTCTACATGCTTTTTTAAGTGCCGTATTTGCAAATGTTAAATATTTTAGCTGATGTTGATGAGTAGCAGTAATGCTTTACAAATCACATAATCTCCAGGGCATTTAGGACTGGGGGCTGCGTGGGTGATAGGATTTGAACAGTTAAGCCAAGTCCCATTTGGAAGCTCTTCTGTAGTTCCAGATGAACGTAATAATATGTAGCTGGAGCCAGTCTGGATCAGTATTCAAGTCAAGAGTTGTCTTCTTTCAGAGAGAGAGTATTCGGCAGAGCACACTGTAAGAGAGAAGCTTATCCCTCTTAAGATTACTTGTCCTGGGAGGGCCCACTGGTAGGGCTTTGTCTTACTGGGAGGAGGTCATAGTGACCAGGAATATGGCTGTTCCTAGGGATGTCGTATGGATTCTGGATATAGCTGGAGTTAGGACCGAGGCCTTCTTGGACCACACTGACTGTGGGCTCTAAGGAATATAGTGAAAAATGAATTCAAAGAACAGATTAGCTTTGGTTGACTTAGGAGGAAAGAAAGTTCTATTTAACTTGGTGGGGGGAGGAGGTGGGTCTTAATGTAGACAGAAAATGGATAGGTTGGAGGCTTGCTGTGAAGGTACAGAACACCTAAGTGAAAGCACTATGGGAACCCTGGCCTCTGGACAGCCCCAGGTGATTTAGGATCACAGAGGAAGGGGTGTATTCAGTGAGCCAAGGATTACAGTTTAAATTATGAAGATGATTCAGAAATGTCTGAGTATTGGTTCTGGTTATTTTCTTTTTTAAATTGAGGTTTATATCAGTAATAACTTAAAAGCCTGTGTACCCACTCCCCACCCTAGTTCTGCTTCATAGTCTGGGGTGGGGTGTGTGTGTGTATGTGTGTATGTGTGTGTGTGAGGGTTTGCACAAGAACGTTAGTGATTTCCTGCAGTGGGGACAGGACAGTCCTGGGAAAGATTTCACCTTGTCCTTAAAAGCAACCAAAGAAGGGCGTGCGGCCAAGGCAGGGTGCATGTAGAGGGCTGCTTTGCTTGCGGTGCTGCACTTGCGCCCCAGGTTCACTAAGTGTTCACTTATTGGAGACACCTACCAACTTCATATATATTTTTATTAGATGTCGACAAGGGTGGCACATCTGTGTATGGAGACCCCCTGTGCACAGGTGACTTCATTTCTACGTAGCTGTTTTCTGGAAGCTTGCAGGGGAGGATGGGTGGGTCCTTAATTGTGGCGTAAGGGTTTTCACTGCTATTCAAGGAACAAGTACTAGAGCTGCACACGGATTCTTTCATGTAATCTGCAAGGCAAGAGAGATTTCTTAGGACAAGCAAGAACATGTCTTAATTTAAATACCAGAAAGACCTGTAAAATCTATGTGTCTTTGGGATCCTGGGGCTGGAAAAGACCATGATAATTGATGATTGATTCATTTACTTTATTAAAATACTGAGTACTTCACATGTATATTTTTGTTTCTCCACCAACTCAATGTCTGACCACCACTAGTACCGTGTCTTACCATAACATTCCATACATACGTAAAACCAAGTAAAGAGGGAGTTCCATCTTCGAAAAGCATGCCAGTGCGTGCCTTAACCCTGTCTGTGGTGTCCGGCTCGAGGGCCTCTTCGACTTTTGTCAAGGGGAGAGCTAACCTCTCCTTTCATACAACCCTCATTTACTTACTGGATGTCTAAATTGTGCTTTTCAAGACGGTTCTTTTTCTAAAGAACTCTGTTTTTGGAGGATAGGAAAATGTTTGGTTTTAGTAGATAGCAATCCAAGAAATGCATAATATATGCTTTCACACATATTTAGTTACTGCAAATGATAGTATGCGTTTTATGGCATACAGGTCCAGAGAGGTGAAGTGACTTGGCTAAGGTCTCATAACTAGTAAAGATACCAGTGTTGACACTTGAATCCATGCCTTGGGACTCCTGGCCTATGTTGTTGTGTGTGGGGGGTGCTGTCTAGCCCAGGGCTGCTTCAAAACTTTCGATCCTTTTTCCTCACCTTCCGAGTGCTGCTATTAAAGTTACAGTGTTACTCCCAGCAGCCCATGTCTTCTGGTTTCAACTCAAGAGCAATGTGTGTTTTACGGCAGATATCAGCAAGTTTAAAGGTGGCAAGCTCGCGGCATCCCTGCTTTACGGGAGCTCATTTTTAGAACTGGGCAAGCTGAAAGCTAATAAAAGTGGAAAAAGACTTGAGCCTCAAGCTAGCTTTGCGAAAGTTCCCGTTTTCTAGTAAGCTTGCAGTGTGTTCTTGATGGTTGTTTTTTGCAGTCCTCCTAAATGCTGACTGGGCCCTGTTTCAGCAGCGTCCTTTGGTACTAGAACTCGTGCTTCCTGATGCCACCTCTCAGTTGCATTACCACAAGACTTCAGGGTACAAAAAGATGCAAACTTTTTTTCAAATATATAATGAGGTAACTAGCTCCCCTGGAGGAAGCCCTTACACTGTCCTTTCCCTTTTTAAGGAAGATTACTGCCTCTACAGTAGTCCCAAGGAGCACGACTTGTCTGGAAGAGGCAGCCAGCTGAGCCCTGACCCTCTGCACACCTCTGGCAGGCTGAGTCTAGCAGCAAACACTGGGCCTTAGGATTTGGTTGTCAGGAGCGATCTCAAAGGACAGCAAGTGAAATTTACTATAACCATCACATTTGCATTGTGGGTACCTCCCCATTTATCTTCTATCTCCAACTTGAGAGATTAAGAGTTACAGTGAAAGTGACATAGTTCAAGGGGTGAAGGGACATGGCTGGGACCTATGAGAACAGAATGATGTGTGTGACTGAAGAGCTGAGCTTATGCCACTACACAGAGCCTTTCCTCCTGTTAACAGGTCAGTGATGGGTTGGGAGAAATTCTGTTAGTGGAGGAATCTGCCTGCTTATTCTAGCAGGTTGACACTACCTCAGTGTTTACGGAAGTACTTGTACCCACTAATTCTTTTAAGCATCTGCCATGCTGTTAAACAGGCATAGCTGTAATTATTATTCTCCTCTTCCCATTATTGCATATGAGGAAATTGAGACTTCAGGTACAGAACTGACTTCCCCAGCAGTGCCCTGCCTGTTGGTAGCAGGTGAGGGTCTAGAACCAGAGCACTTTCCATTAGCACCTAGCCTACAAATAGGGAGGCTGGCTTTGTTCTCGTCTTGGTTTGTGAACCTGATAGCATATGACCCTAGAGAAGAGGAGAAAACATCGTTGCTTGGCAGTGAGCAGGTTCAGGCAGTTCTACCAGGAACTAAAGGGAGGCTGAGAAGGCCCAGCTGCCATCGAGATTCTCAAGGGAAGGGTGGCTGCGGGCCCTGGCTCACCTGCTCCAGCCTACAAAGTCTGACTCCTGGAAATGGTGGTTAGGTCAAGAACTCTGGGGTAGCCCATCTGTCCCAGTTTGGGTTCTCTAAACCCATCAGGCAAGGAGTAAGGCAAAATAGCCTAGGGCTTCTTGGAAGCTAAGTATTACCTAAAGCCTAGCATGGCTGGCTTGGTTGCATGTTGTCTAAAATTTGAGAACAGTGATAGCTTACTTTGTGTGCTACTTAATGTTAGACTTCATTCCACTTAGGCCACTTGAAGCTTGTATCTGAAAGGGGTCTGGGTGGAAGCGATGTTACTAGGAGAGTTTGTTCATGTATTGGTAAGTGGTTCATTCACTCAGGACTTTTCCCAGGTCTTCTGTGATAGCCAGTCAAGATGTTTCTCCCACAGGAATCTTACTAGTAAAATTCCAGTTCTCATATCTAAAGTGCAGGTTGTTCCTCCGCTGTACCCCAACCAAGGGATACCTGTAACTGTGGGGCTGTGTGCTGCTGAGAGAAGAGGCCCAGCTTCATGCTGCTTGTGGGTATGCCAGCCTAAGTTCTGCCAGTGAAAGAGCTTTTAGTGAAGCGCTCTCTGGCTTCATGCCCAAGACGGCCTCGCCAGTACCTCTTCCCACTTTCACCAGAAAGTCAGGGCTGCTTTTAACATTTAGGGAATACTGTAAATTGTTATCTCTGGAGCAGTAGATGCACCTAAGTAGATAAAAGATGTTGAGCCTGGTGTTGAGGATAGGCAGAAGGATCTTCCATACATGGGCCAGAGGCGCAGACAAGGGTAAAGAACTTTCTAGTGTGTTGGGTGGCTTGGTGGCTGGGCAGGGCATTGCATTGCTTTGACCTGTGCCTGCTGGGAACTGGAGGGAAGAGCAAGGCCAGCTGGTGGACACTACCCCAGGCAGCCCTCTCTCTAGCTCAGTCCTACACCTGCCCTCAAGGAGAGGAGGCCAAGAGGGGAAGAAAAAACAGCTCTAACTTCCTCATCCTTTTACAGCCCCACCCCTGTCCAGTCTCTACCCTTCAGGGCATTTTGCAAATAAAGGAGAAGCTTCAGCCACAGGACTACCACAGCTCTTGGGAGTTGCTCTGCTGGGCTGGTAATGAGCATCAAGAGCCAATGCTGAATCTTACAAATGTCCTGGCATTTGGCCTCACTAATTCCTACCTGCTCAAAACATTGGTAGTCATATACAAGAGACAGGACTTCTAAACTGAACTGGACATTTTACAAGCAAGCACAAATCCAGAGATGGCTTTCTAAAGGCTTTTTGTGAGTGGGCTGTGGAATCTGACATCTGCTTCAGGCCCAATTTAAGTGTGGGGCAAAATCGAGACAACCGTAATGTTTGGTCAATAATTATTTTTTAAATGGTCCCAGGGATTGAACCCAGAGCTTATATACTGAGCTATATCCATTTGAGATGGGGTCTTTCAGAGTTGTCCAGGTGGAACTTGAATATGTGGTCCTCTGCCCCAGCCTTCCCAGAGTGCTAGGATTACAGGCATGTACCCCCAATCCCTAGGTCTAATGCTGTTAATAGGTCACACTGGGTTTTCTCTTCTTGAATGGTAAGCTTCCTTCTCTTGAGATGGACTCTGGGGAAAGGAAAGGGGTGGTCTCTGGGTCAGAGAAAGAACACTGGCTGCAAAAGGAGTTTCAGAAGGCGTGGGTTCCTAAGTAAGAACTGTGGTTATTTGATGGTGAGACTTGGAGCTTGGGTGGCAAAGGAGCATACAGATTGGGATAATGGGAAAATGGCAGTAGTCCTGGGCCCCAGAGGTGCATGGCAAGTGCCCCGGAGCCTTTCCTCTGGGCAGTTTCCTCTGTGCCTCTTGGAATTGCCCGATCATGTGCTGAGAATGAAGCAGGAAGGCCTCCAGGAGGGCAGTGAGTGGAGTCCATAGGAGAAAGCACGATGTTGACTGCACTAAGACTGGGAGTGTCAGGGCTGGGGAGGCTGGGAGTGTCACCCTAGGGGAGGCTGGCAGAACGCTGTCCTCCTTAAAGAGGTGGTGGTCATGGCCCGGACGCGTGTGATCTAGTCTGTGCCACATGGTGAGAGCTACAGCTCCGCACTCTTAGTTCCTAGGCCAGGGCTTTTCCTGGAGTTCAGAGCATGTTTAAGAGCTTTACTTTTGGCAGTTGTGATTTGATTTGGTTCTGTGGTTTTCCAAAGAGTTTAATTTGTGGTACAAACTAAATGTTTATTTAGGGGTTTAACCAATAGGTGGGATTTTTTTCTTGTCTTTTGTAAATACTTCTGTCATATTACATTATGAGCTGTGAGATTTCATTTTTTTCCTTTTGAGTTCTCTCACTCCTGTCAGCATATTTGCCTACACAGTACTCTTTTGTCTCTGAGTTAAAGGATGACTGTAGCCAGCATGGTGAAATGCAGTAGGGCTGCCTGCCTGCTAGGCCTTAATCACGCAGAGGCTCGGATCTGTGATCTCATGGAAGAGGAATGGAGTGACGCTGAGGCAGGGACTCTGCTTTCTTAGTGTAGTTTTTACATTTATGGTTTCAAATCTGTCTCAAAGTAGCTATCCTCATTACAATGCAGAGGACAACAGGGTGCGTGGAAAGTTGTCTGGGCCTGCCTGGGCTTACTCATGCTTGAGTCATGCCTGTTCGCCAAGCCAGAAAGGCCCTTGAAGATCTGTACGCCCAAACCCCAACTTGTTTGTGAAACTGCAGTCACCATAATGAAATGGTAGAATTGCTTTCCCAGTTGTCAGCCTCAATTACTGAAAGCCGTTTGCCTGCATTTGGATAGTTTAGGTCAAAACAGAAAATTGTCAGAATCCAGCTCCCAAAGGGTACCATCTACTGGTCGGCTTGGAGTCTGGGTGTGACCGCCCATTCTTGGCAGCTCCAGGTATTGGACAGCCTAACAATAATGGTCCTTCATCCTTACTGCTCTTTGCTCAGCACACGTTACTTGCCATCTGCCCCTTCTTGACATCACTAATGATCTCCCCAAGATCTATAAGCAGCTAGTTTTAGGAGATGGTTGTGTCTTGGGTGTAGCCAAGGCTGGATGTAAAAGGTCAAAATAGTAACTTAGGAGTCTGGACTAGTGTTTTCTAAATGGTGGTTGGATACCAAGCTGCATGAGGGTATCCTGCGGTCTTCATCACAAAGGGCAGCTTCCAGGGCTCTACTTTTACCTACGTTGGTCTCCGGGAGGTGTTTAATAAACCTTCCAAGTGATTCTGTTGCACCGCTACATCAAGGATGGTCATTGATCAAGGATGTTCATTGAATTATCTTTGTTTGGCTGAAGGACTTTTGGTGGATCCCCATTATGTTAGTTTGACCTTTATAATATGCAAAATGCT